AGCCAGCTTGCACCAGTTGCTTTTTCTCTCTCCTTTTTTCTGTGTATTGCGTCACAGTAGCTGAGGTGTTCCTCACCTCTAGCTAACGTGTATGATGATGATGATGATATATATATATATATATATATATATATATATATATATATATATATATATATATATATATATACATATTGCAACCGTCTACGAATAGACATAGAGCCATCAGAAACCGTGGGACAACAAAGAAGGTACAGAAATAGAAGGAAAACAGCACAACACATCGGAGTCCATGGTTTCGTCAGAGGGCAAGATACTACCCGGTTGCCCAAGCCGAAGTAGTGTTGTTTTAGGGGACGCCAGCCCGAGTCTTTGGCCGAATAGCCTGCCCGCAAGGCGGCGAAGTGATTTTAGGGAATCGCGCCCATTGGGAGCTGGTGACTGATTGCTCAGTTCATACGCCTTTCGTTTGTCAAACAGGGCCCGATGCTCCACATCATCATCATACGCGTTAGCTGCAGGTGAAAAGCACCTCAGCTATTGTGCCGAAATACACAGAGCAAGAAGAAAAAAATTCAGTGGCACGCCGGCTGAGTCCTCAGTAACGGCTGGACATCGTTCCGAAGACTTAACAGCCGGCCATCGTGCCGCAAAAAGTTGTTTTGCGTAACGAATGCGATCGTGATTACAGGAGGAGGCTAAGAGGGAGGGGAATGGACAAAGAAACGCACAACACAAACGCCACTGGGGCCAGCTCCTAGTCATATCAGCAAGTGTGTCCAACCAAACGTGTTCATCGTCCGTAGGACCCCAGCCAGGCAGTCGGAATGAACCAGCCGACGCCAACTTCGAAGTAAGAGTTTTCATTTCACTCGACTAAGTCATCGCTTGGCCTCCCCTCCTCCTCTTCCAACCGCACCCCCGGCGCGCAAACAATGCACGTCGCGGAAGTCGGTGTGCTGGCATGCGCAACACGTGTATCATCCATGGGAGCCTGGTGTGTGATATAATGGTGCTGAGCGGTTCACTCGCTCTTCCTGCACCAAATACGCGACGCCGAATACGCTCATTGCGCACGCATTGCTCCCAACTGACATGAACTAAGCTGCGAAGGCAGCGGTGATCGAATGTGACCAGCCTCTTTATGTCTGTCGACCTGATGTGCCAGGTTTCACAACGATATAGGAGAATTGAACGGACGGCTGCGTTACAGCATACAGTTGCTGGAATACAATGCTTCGCCAGGAGGAAGCAAGGGACAGTGGCTTTATTTAGTGGCGTCACGTCCGTTACGTCGCAGTGTTGTTAAACGGACATAAGTGGCTTTTTATAGGGAGAACACTTGTCAGGCGAAAACCCACCACCTCCTGGAACACTGCCGCCGAACCATTTTCTGGAACGGGAATATCCCGAACCACCCAGCTGGCACCACGAGGAGGTTGTTCGGCAAGCTTTGAAATTGGTTCTACTTGCCTTCATCATCTAACCTAAATGTCTGGTAACACGCTCAACTTATTTAGACCCACAGTGACAGGTGAATTGTTAGCCAACCAATGAACGTAGATTATAAGGCATGTTGCCTTTGAGCTCTGGAACCAATAGGTATCGGCTCACATGAACAACGTTTGGGTAGGTCGCGTGAAAAACCTTTCCACAGCTTTGCATTAGCCATCGCCTACAGATTTTATCCAGGTTGTCGCATCTGAAAGGAAGATAATTAAAAAGTGGCTGATGCGTTGCAACTGTTGCGTTTTCTCTGTATCAATGAAGCACTGCGGGTATCCACTCTCATGCAACACCTCTTAGATCCGCGTAGGGGCAGGCGTCCTCGCGGTATACTTAGCCCACGCACGACTGATGGTGGTCGCGCGGCAGCGAAGCGCTGTCAGCGTATAGCTGACACGTTATTTTTTCTTAGATCCACTTCAGTTCGCTCTCCGCGATGCCCGTTTGGCAGACTTCATGTGAGCAGGTTGTTAGGGTGTGCACCAACATTCTCTTGTAACAGGGCTGTGGCAGTTCTTGTTGTATCGTCAGGCTCAATGCGGATTCCTGTACACCACCATGACTTTTCTCCTTTTTGTCTGACGCATCCTTGAATTTCAGCTGGTTGTCTCTTTATCGGCTTTAAACTCGGCTTTGGGAAGTGCCTTTTAACATTATTCCACAAATTGGTCATCCGGTCACATTCAAGGAGCGTCATCCACATACTACCAACATGGCAGATTTTAATGGAATCCATCCTGACATTCCCGTCTAGTTATTATCCATCTCCATCGTAGAGCGGACGGCATCTCCGTTCTGCCCGAATGAGCACCTCATTTTTTTAAAACCCTGTAACTGAGTACAGAACACATTTCGAGTGATAAATTGATTTTTTAAGTGCATAGAAAATTGATTGCTTTCGCCAAAATTGGCTAGTCAAGAGGCAGTGTCTGGCGAAACCAACAGATTGGCTGGAATATTCTTGTTTTGAACTATTTTAACTAATTTAAACGTGTTCGTTAAGAAGTAAAGGGTCGAGTTTTTTTATCAGCTATCTTGCAGTTATGATAAGGTAAACTCCTCACTCCTAATATTGGCCTCAATAGTTCATCCGATTTGTTTAACTTGATACAATCGCGGAGTGAAGGAGCCTGTGGATCCAAGTTTTTTCTATACGTTTTCTTAGTTATGGAGCCCTTACCGATTGACCATGTTGGACACTTGGTCAGTGCCATTTTTGTGTTATCTGTTTTACATTTCAAGAAATGTGAGGCACCATAGAGTCATTTTTATTCCCCTTACACAGTCATTGCGGTCCATGATTACCGTTCATGATTGTTTCTCTGGTCTCTTTGTCGCTGCTGTCTCACGATATCAGTGTACGATTAGCACTGGCTGTCAATCGTTTTGGGCTATGCTTTGCTCCATCGAAATGCAAAGTACCTCTCCAAGATTGGCAGGGACCCAACCCTGCGCTAACGCTTGGTGGTGATCTGCTAGAAGTCGTTCAGGAATTCAAGTACCTGGGCAGCTATATTAGCGCCCGTGGGATTGAAGATGAGGTTACGAACCGTATAGCAAAAGCTCGAGGTGCTTTTGCCAATCTCCGCCACCTGTGGCGCAGACGCGACATTACTCTCGCCCTCAAGGGCAGAGTTTACAACGCAGCCGTCCGTTCAACTCTCCTATATGGCTGTGAAACCTGGCCCATCAGGTCGACAGACATGAAGAGGCTCGTCACATTCGATCATCGCTGCCTTCGCAGCTTAGCTCATGTCTGGTGGGAGCACCGCGTGAGCAATGAGCGTGTTCGACGTCGCATATTTGGTGCAGGAAGAGCGAGTGAACCGTTCAGCACCATTATACCACACACCAGGTTCCGATGGCTGGGCCAAGTGTTGCGCATGCCGGCACACCGACTCCCGCGACGTGCATTGTTTGTGCGTTGTGGGTGCGGTTGGAAGAGGAGGAGGGGAGGCCAAGTGATGACTTGGTCGAGTGAAATGAAAAACCTCACTTCGAAGTTGGCGTCGGTTGGTGCATCCCGACTGCCTGGCTGGGGTCCTAAGGACGGTGAACACGTTTGGTTGGACACACTTGCTGATATGGCTTGGAGCCGGCACCAATGGCGTACGTGTTGTGAGTTCCTTAGTCCATCCCCTCCTGTTTAGCATCCCCCTCCAATCACGATCTCAGTTGTTAGGCATACTACGACTCTCTTTTACGGCCGCCAGCTGTTAACTCTCCGGAACGATGTCCATCCGTTACTGGGGACTGAGCGGGCGTGCCACTATTTGTTTTTTTCGTTTCTTGTCTTTCGTATTGCGGAACAATAGCTGAGGTGTTTTCCACCTCCAGCTAACGTGTAATGATGATGATGATGACGATTTTGTCAGCAATCGTTGATGCGTTGTAGGATACGTTCTGCACCGATAGGTGATTTACTAAAAGCGGATTGTTTACAGTGGTATATATGACCATTAAAATCGCATATTACTAGTGCACTCGCCTGGTAAAGTACTTGAGAACAATTATCCTTTTTAAGCTTACTGCTTAGTCCCTTTCATTCGGTTGGGGTCCCGATCTCCGCGACCCACATGGATAAACAAGCTCACAGTTGGCGAAAATAACGCCCCCCTGTGTGTTGACCGTTGTTTTTTCCATTCCCTCTAGTAGAGCTTAACAATATTTTGAGAGTACGCGGCATATAACGTGTGCTCCTGATTGATCTCCGGATAAGTAAACCTCCCAATACTAGTCATCTGTGACCCTCGTTGACTCTGTTCCATTTTCCTTCCGATTACTTCCTACCCTATGTAGTCAAGTCAGGAAGGTGCTTTATGCACCCTTGAAGGGTGAATATTCAGCTCTAACACACATGCCACGGAATGGGGTAAATAATGGAAAGAGATAGTACATACGGATAAATATAAAACCACAGCGGTTAACAGAGATTTGGTAGAGCAAATATCGCTCGAGTAATTTACTTATCAGTTCTTGAATGACCGAAGTTTTGTCGTCCAAAAGACGTAACAGGAAAGGAACTACAGATGATGTACCATAGACCCTTGTGTGGGCGTATGTAGTTTTGTAGGTGTCTGGTCGAGGAAGAGGTTGATAAGAATTCGGACAAAACTCTGTGAAGCTACGTGTTATTTCGGCGCGTGCTTGTGTCACCCCGACCTGCTGCTGTGGAAAGTGGCCAGGACGAAGCATGTACAAGCACGCGTGATCCACTAGGTTGGGCAGTTTGCTTCCAGTAACCTCAAAGTAGCGCGTACCTCACTTTGGCATTTGCTGCTTTGATATCACACTTGCCGGCGGACAGACTTGGTATCACCATACAGACCGTCGCTTCTGCTGCTTGGTGTCGCATCTACCCCGCAGATTGCACCAATACAGCACACCGCATCTTCTGCATTAATATATAACCAGGTGACGACTCGTCGTGAAAACTGTAACACTCAATCTTTCATTTACTCTTGGTCGTCTCTGACAACACCGCATGTCGTCATCGCCATTTTTTTGTTCCTTAGGTACGGTTTACCGGTTGATTTTCAAGCTGTACTCATTCAACCAAACAAGAAAGCACACAAACGCCTTCGGGATGTTCTGCTACAGCTCTACAGTCACTTGGATAGCACCGCGTCAAACGCGGTCGTTGATGTGAGTCCCTACTCCCTGTTCATTTGTGATCGCCACTATTTGGCAGCGACACTAGCAGTGCTGCTACGTGTATATCTGTGCATCGGATTACCACCTATCAAGGTTATGAGTCACTCATACCATAGTATCAGCAGATTGTTATTTAATCAGCAGAATCTGCTGTGTAGATCGAGATTCGTCAGAAGCGTGCTGTGCCTCTTTGACATGCGAAACGCTGTCACGGTCATGGATCACTTGGTCTGTCGATCCGTCTCTCTCCACAGAGACAGCCATCAGTGCGTAACATCAACACCATGGCTATTTCTGTTTCTGTTATTTGCTGCATACCCGTAGAACTTACACAGCCGTGGAGGGCGGCGGATATGCGTTAGCTTATGGTCATCATTGCTGCTTATCCGGTTCAATTGAAAGACCAGAAGTACAAAGATAACCGATTTCATGCCACAAGCTTGGGCACGATTAATTCAGTTCCTCTTGATCAGGAGCCAGTTCTCCCAAAGCATATCCATAGAATTGAGGTACCGCGTTCCCAGAGACCTGAAATCCGAGTGATGTATATGACTCGCAATTGTTTCGTAGTTCTCTCAATCCTCTTCTGATCTGTCCAGCAAAAACAAGCCTTCGTGGAAATTTCGTGTGATTGAATGGTAGTTTCCGTATTGTCAACGATGCCCTTGTTCATTTTTGTGACATAATTAAAGAACCCTACCGTGGTTGGCCGCTTTACGCACTACGTGGACCGTTGAGGTACACCGGGCGGTATTTTCTGAGTGCTATTACATTTTCCAGAACCGGAACGGCCAGATGTTATGGGTAAAGCACACTCAGTCGCAACATTCCCCCTTGAAATTGTGAAGAGGATAGTGGATCTGGCGATGAGCCAAACTCACTTGATGCAGGTTATGGCGATGCGGTGAGTAGGGATATCCGTTTGCTACCGTATCCGTCAAGTCAGACGGTATTCAGCCGAAAAGTGCAAACTCACCTGTGATTGGTCCTGGTCGCATGTGTCACGTTGGACTCACTTCAATTGATCGCCACGTGACCGCTACCATATGAAAATTTGAACTACTCCATGTACGCTTCTCAAGTTTAATCTTTTCCTCGCTGTCTTTTTGGAGAAATCACTGAACCAAGTTTGCTCGAGTGGAGACTAGCTATATATATGAAAGAGACACACAGTTTTGCTTGTGTTGATGGTGAACCCGAATTTGGCCGCTGTCGAAGCCAGAGCACTAGTCATGTGCTGCAACTCATCCGCGCTGTGTGAAAACAACGCACAGTTGTCAGCAAACAGCAACATACGGATAGTTGTCTCACAGACTAGAGTTCTCGCACCGAAACGACGGATGTTCAGCAACCCACCATCAATACGGTGCTCCACACGAACACCGTAAGCACAAGCCGCATCAAAAGCACAAGACAACATTGCATGAAGATAGATATTAAACAGGGCAGAAGCTAACACACAGCCTTGCTTCACACCAGGGACAACTGTAAAGTCATCAGAGATCTCTCCACTCAGCTGCAAACTCGCTCGCATACCACTGTGCAGACATCCAGTTAAACTTACAAACTTACGCGGGCAACCAAACTTACCCAACACCAGCCACAATGCCTCGCGGTTCACCGTATCAAATGCCCTGGTGAAATCAACAAAATGCGAGTACAAAGGCTGGTGTCGTTCTTTGCACTTCGCCTGCAACTGACGAGTCGCAAACACCATAGCTATAGTGCTGCGACCCGAACGGAATCCACACTGCTCTTCCGCCACGTTCGGTTCTACAACCTGACTGACGAGGCGTTTGAGCAGGGTTCGCGCAATCATCTTACCCACACAACTCAGCAAGTCGATGCTACGATAATTCGTGCAACGTTGCTTGCTCCCTTTGTCCTTGTACAGTGGTAGCACAAGGGCATCCTTCAACCCAGGAGGTACCTCCTCCTCAATCCACACGCGTTGCACCAAGTGGTGTAGCGCAGTCACCAACGCGGGTCCGCCGTGTTTCAATACTTCAGGTGGGATCCCGTCGGCACCGGCACACTTGCCGTTTCGCAGCTGAGCAAGTGCTCTCTTCGCCTCATCCAGTGTCCGCGTGTCTGCCAGACTCGCCTTCACATCCTACTGCTTAGGGCAGTTCAATGTAGGTCAGTCGATCTCTGAACGGTTGTTCAAGAGACAGTCCAAGTGTTTCCGCCAGATCTGAATTATGTCTGCAGTCTTTATGCGGGTAGCGCCTGAACTACCATCGACCAGCGTCCACAGCGGCTCCAACATCGGTCCATACACCGCCTAAAAGGAGTCAAAGAACTACTTATGTTAGCGGTGTTCGGCGTAGCATTCCATCTGCTTCGCCTTCTCCGTCCACCATGCATTTTAGTGTGACAAAGCTCGCGAGTCAGTCGCCGTCGGTTTGCGAAACTGACTCTTCTTCCCCAAGTCACTGGGGTCTGCGACATGTGCAGCAAATGCTGCATTCTTCTCCGACACCAATGCGCCAATCGTCGCATTGTTCTCATCAAACCAATCAGGCCGCTTACAGTTTGCGCGCCCGATGGTCTCCTCGGCAGCAGCTGTCACCTGGTCGCGAATGTGGTGCCACAGGTCGCCCACTGTGGCTATACAGTCCACATCACCACACAGGCGTGCAGCCATCGCCTTCTCCAGCTCAGTACGTTTCGCCGCAGTACCGAGGGAGAGAATGTTAAACTTACGCCGATTCACAGCGGCAGTGCAATACATCGATTTACGAAAATATATGTACAGTTTGGTCGGCAACAATTTGTGATCAGTGCCACACTCAGCTCCACGCAGTACACGTGTCATGCGCACTTCACGCATATCACGCTGACGTACGATGACATAGTCGAGCAGGTGAGCGTGACCACTCCGTGGGTGCGTCCAAGTTGCTATATCACTCGCACTCAGTGCAAACCGAGTGTTCGTGATCGTCAGGCCGTGAGTGGCACACAGTGAGAGCAGCCTGTCACCGTTCGCATTCGCTGAGCCAATGCCATGCGAACCGATAACAACTGTCCACACTGATGCATCACGCCTAACGCGCGCGTTGAAATCACCCAGCAGAAATAGTCGGTCGCTCCTCGGCACAGACCTTATCACGGAGGATAGCTCAGTGTAGAACTGATCACGCGTGTCATCAGGATAACACATGGTCGGACCGTACGTGCTTATAAAAGTAGCAAACTTACCTCTTCCGAGTCGTAGGCGAACAGTCATCAGTCGCGCGCTGATGCCCGTTGGTTCACCCACCAGCTGGCCATGGAGGCGGTCGGATATTGCAAATCCGACCCCATGTTCACGTGGTGCTGAGGCGGCGTTCCCCACCCAGTAGAATGTGTAGCCAGCACCTGCTTCATGTAACTTACCTTGCTCAGCGAGCCGAGTTTCACTGAGCGCCGCAATATCGATGTGGTGGCGCGCCAGCTCCATTGCGACCAGTGCAGTGCGTCGCTCCGGGCGCTCGCTCGAGTTCCGGTCCAGTAGTGTGCGCACGTTCCAGCACCCGATGCTGAGTGCTTTGCGCGCAGGCATACGATTGCATTGGTGGGCAATCGCACGCGAGGTGGTCGTTGTGCTTCGGAGGTTTGCTTGAGGGACTCCACCCGGAGCCTTTGGCTCAATAGCCTGACCCACAAGGCAGTGGGTGGTTTGGAGGTTTGCTTGAGGGACTCCACCCGGAGCCTTTGGCTCAATAGCCTGACCCACAAGGCAGTGGGTGGTTTGGAGGTTTGCTTGAGGGACTCCGCCCGGAGCCTTTGGCTCAATAGCCTGACCCACAAAGCAGTGGAGAGCAGATCCAGCTCGGGAATGTGATTGCAGAGACAGATTGGGATCTGCTTGACGGCCGTCACACGCAGCCTTTGAGGTTCTGGAACAATTATCATATGTTTTGCGACCGTAATTGGATACGCACCTGCGACCACGGCCAGACGCAGGTGGGTTTTTGGCGGGTTTGCACCAATTTGACCAGGGGCTGCCTGGCTTGAGGCGGGCAGTAGCAAACCATTGAACACCCGGTGGTGTCCTCCCACTGTCAGAGACAATGCGTGGCACTCGTGCTCTTACGCCAATCGGGCATTGAGAATATAACTCGTAAACCTGTTGTCTCCCATGGCTAGGTTTTACGGGAAGTGGGCCATCGACCACTTCCTAACCTCCGGAGAGGATGGACTAGGATACTGCCAGGGCGCCCAATCCTGACAGGAGAACGACTCGGGTCCTCAGCCAAAGCCTTCGATTAAATGAACACCCGAAAGGCAACGGGTCTAGCACATGATCATTTAGCCGACTCATGCGGATTGGTGTCCTGGATCTTAGCAGGGAGAAGGGCGAAACCTAACTCCCACCCAGCGGTCGCCACGTGGAGGCGCCCAGGACATGAGACTATGGCGCAACAGTAGCAGCAGTGGGTAGACCATCTGTCAGGATCTAGCCACCACCAGCCTCAGCGCACCATAGGCTCTCCCGCTATATATATATATATATATATATATATATATATATATATATATATATATATACCATTCAACTCCACCTACTACTCCCATGTAATATTTATTATTGTGGGTCAGATTGTAGAATCAAGGCTCCCGAACAAAGCTTTTCCCAACGACGGACACCTGTCCTTATGTTTTGTCTCAGCCCTTATAATTCTCCTATTCCTTTGTTGACCACCAAATATCGTTTCTAATTCCTTCAATCGTAGCGAAAAAGCGACTGACCGTTTTTCAAATTTAGAATATTATTTCAACATCCGGACCTCCGCTACCAGACTAGTTGGCAGCGCTCTACCGCATTTGCTACCATTGGCACTGAGTGCCGTCTACGTAGCTTATTGTATGCATGATGTTGGATATTCCGGGATAGATCCTTTAGTATCATCCGACTTGATGCAATCGCGGAGCAAATGTCCCAAGTACGCCACTCACCCATCTGCGACAGTTAACGACGAACACTGTACCATGCGCTAACTGCCGAAATGTGAACTATTCACTTCAATGCATTGTATATTAATTGGTCACGTATGCTTTTGTTGTTTGTTCTAACACTTTTTGAACACAACAGTAATGATAGTTACTATCCGTGGATAGAATATACACACCACCATGGACTTCACACCAAAAATTGACCTAAGCTGTACCTGTACTTTCTTTTCGTCACGCAGGAAGACATGTCACTTGCTGGTATGGGATCAAACACGGAATATTACCCATACGTCTCCTTCAAAATTGAACTGAGTTTTCTGGAACTTCGTTGAATTCACGCGTGTAGCAGGCGTGTGAATAAGCATCGCAAGCATAATACCCTATTATTTTTATCATTCCAAATGCCCTCCACGATGTCTGCTTATCGACGACCCAAACGACCTCCAATCAAGCAAATTCCGATGTCACTGTTCTTAAGTCCCACCTACCGCTCGCATACGGATCCACGGCTGCTGTATACTTATTCATACTGACTTCTTATCGCCAGTTATTCAGTCATTTGATTTGTTATCTTTTTTCTTTAAAAGTGAATAGTCTTTGTCAACGAACGCGTTCCAGTTATCCTTTTATTTTTTGTCGAAAACAAATGAAAAGGCTGAAAAAAACAAATTCATTCTGCATGTTGGGAAAGTTAGTCTTTTGTTCACGCTAAACCTTCTCCGTGTGAATGTTGTGAAAATTCATCTTTTTCCCCCTCCGCAACACAGTGATAGACAGTTCATCGCGATTTTCAGCTGCGGAGTATACTTGCTGTGCATTGGTGATTGGTAGTCCGTCGATGGCGATGATCACATCACCGGCCCTCAAGCCAGCTCTGCAAAAGAAACAGTGTCATGATTTAACAATACGGACTAAGGAGGACTAATTGTGTTAATTGAAAACGTAAACTGATTGGGCACATATTTTGATCCGGTTTGCCAAACATGTCCAGGCACAGAACGAACGCCGATTGTGGGTGAATAAAAGGAGTTCGGTGAACTAAGCGGTAAGACTAGCTGTCAGTTGAAATGAAGACTACCTCGTCTTACGCATCCACATCAAAAGTAGAGATCAAGGGAGCCATGGAGCGCGAAAAGTGAACCGTATCGCCCGAAAAGTGTGTATTACATCGGCACCTAAGGGAATACTGCACGTGTAGGCTACATCCAAATAGACAACCACGAACTGGCAGACCATGGTAACTAAAACACGCGAGCGACAGCTTCGAGATGAAACTAGCAATCCTATGAAATAAACACAGTAGCACCGCTTTTATGACGACCAGGTTTGCTCGCAGTAAACATCACATCAAAAATGTAGCGCGAATACTAAATCATATATACTTCTTGTTTGGGAGCGGGGGTAACGACCACCTGATGTTCACCCGGTTCCTACATGGCATTAGCTGCAAGCAACGGCCACAGCAAAACGCTTAAACCATATAAATGAAGAACAACTCCTTCAGCAATTAACGCATGACAATCTTGCCCCACGGCACCGGAGAACCACGGGATCACGTTATAATACGCAAACACATAGGCAAGACCGTGCACAAGCTCGGATTACCGATACGCAAGTCACAAAAGCGCAACAATGGATCAAAATGTCTTCGAACACTTCAGTACGTTAAGAAGTACGGCATATGCATTCGTTCTGGCTCAAATCACCGAAAAACGCAGTAATCGGCTTAGGAATAATGGAAGATTGTTATGATAGGTTGTCTGTTGGCATTATGATGTTCGGGCGTCTAGAGTAGAGTAAAAATGCGAACGATATACTTTCAAAGCGCAAACACAACTAGCTTAAACCGATTCGTTTCATGAGGATCATTGGGCAACCAAAGCGCGCTAAAGGCGATGAGTGTGAAACTAATGTCGCGTTGAATTTTACAGAGCATCATTCGGTCTTCCTCAGAGGTTTGAGTGACGGCTAACAACCAATCAAAGAGCACTTCCGATTTGTGCCAAGCAATCACCAGAGAATCGTTACCACCTTCCAGTAATGGTGAGAAGAGTGGTCGTTGTGATCAAGCGCCTCGCTGTTGCTACAGAGTCGATCCGTGTCAGATCACGACAGGTGAGTTGCTACGTTAACTTTCAAGGTGGTTTCCCGTAACCCAATCAACAATCCCCACACGCAAGACCAGTAGAATTGCTCAGCATTCAGGCCGAGGCGACTAAGAATCAACTGGTTGCCTACTTTCAATCACCCAGTGTCTAACAGAAACGTCAAGAGTGCCTTTGATTCAGTCGATCGATCGATTCTGTTCGAATTACTTGCGCTAAAAGGTGTTCCCACGAAATATGTGAACATTTTTCTTGCTCTATACTCGAACACTACAGGCCGCGTCAGGGCCTACGGTGTCCTATCGGATATCTTTCCGACCACAAGTGGCGTTAGTCAGGGTTGTCCGATGTCTTTTTTGTACAACTTCGTCGTATATTCTATCATGGAGTGTTTCCTTGTGGAATCTTACGATATAGGCGTTGAAGTGCTGCCTGGTGAAAGGTTAGTTGATCTAGATTATGCGGACGATATCGTCTTGCTTTTCGACAATGTTGCGGCGGCGCAATCAACCCTGAATAGCCTGTCCAGAGTGGTCCCATTATTTGGTATGCACTTCGCACCTTCAAAATGCAAAGGGTTGCTGCAAGACCACCAGCCACTTGATGACCCCTTGACGCTTGCTAACGAGGAACTCGAGGTGGTTGATCATTTCACTTATATTGACAGCTTCATCAGCAATGATGGGCGCATAGAAACTGACGTCAGCTCACGCATTGCAAAAGCCAGAGCTACCTTGAACCTGCGGCATCTTTGGCGACAGAAGGGAATTTTCCTCCGTCTGAAAGACCGTGTATACAAGGCCACAGTGAGGGACGTTCTGCTCTATGGTAGTGAGACTTGGCCCCTTCGGTCTGAAGATCTGAGGCGTTTTCAAGTGTTTGATCATCGTTGTCTGCGAAGCATTGCTGGTGTCGGATGGCACCAGCGTGTCCGCAACGGTGATGTGCGTAGGCGAATACTAGGTGGTGATAATCATGCTATCTCTCTAGAACAACAGATAGCACTGAATAAGTTGCGTTGACTCGGGCACGTGCTACCTATGCCTGGTCACCGCTTACCTAGGAGGGCCTTGTTTAGTCTGCCAGGTGTAGGGTGGCGCAAGGCTCGAGGTGGACAGAGGTTGACTTGGCAGTGGGACATGAAGTCACTGACGAGCAAACTGGGTACCGCTGGTCCGTCTCGCCTTCCGGGCTGGAGTCCACGTGACTCACCTTGTGCTTGGCTCGAGACTTTACAGGACATGGCTCGCAACCGACATCAGTGGCGCGTCTGCTGCTGTCTCCTAATCGGATTGTCCGTTTAAAATGTGTTTGGTGCTGAGTTATCTGCAGGGTAATGGCTGATTATGACGCGTGGCAGTGAAAGCCGCAAGGAAGCTGTCTCGCCGATGCCGCCTTATCTTTGCACGATAGCCAGCTGTTTGTGACGGTATGTTGTCTACACAAGGTGTAGGCGCCTTGACCCTGAATGTTTGCTTAGGGCATTAAGGTTTTCAGGTAAGTCCCCGTTCTCTCCCTCTTCTAATTATTTATTGCATAGGTCATCATGGTTGTATGGCAGCGAAGCATCAGTTCAAATGGCTGATGATGAACGAAAACTTCCAATGACTTAACAGCAATGGTGTTCCAAGTGGCACTGGCCCTGTCAGTTGCAATAGCACTTCTAGTCGATATTCATGTTTGCACGATATCTAAGGAAGCTGACCTCTGGGCAGGAGAGTTCTTCATGACAGCATGTATAAGCACCCCTTCTGTGACATCCAGGAACTGAGCTCCGCCGCGGGAGGAAAGTTCGAACGCCAATTCCGGAGTGAGTGTTCGCATCACAAGACCAAGGTAGCGACGTTGAGAAGAACCACGATCGCTCGCATCTGATTCAGTGATGACGTAGGAATCGCCCGAAGGGCCAAGCATATTTGGCGCAGGAGGGGGTTTGCCGGCACGAGACACAGCTTCCAAAGCTAACTGGGCGAACTTGCGCACTTGATCCACTGGAATGGCAAAGCCAACGCCCGTCCCGGCGACCATTGCGTTCACACCGATCACTTCACCGTACAGGTTAACGAGTGGGCCACCGGAATTACCGAACTAAAAGCGTCCAGAGAGTAGATCTGCATTCAAATTACCGACACAGATACCGACGTTAATGAAAACCAAAGGTAATGAGTGCATGTGAAAGGGCAGAACTGGATCGTAGGTGACAATTCAAATCAACACAAATGCCTCAGGTGACACAGAAAAGTGCCGGGGACTGGTGGTTGCGAGGCTAGTGGTGGTGAGAGACCTAGAGTAGTCGGGTATTACTCGGTTTTTTTTAGACCGGACTGGGGGTTGCCGAAGGCCAACACACCATGAGTAGTCTGCTAAATATTATGATGAGGTACCTCAATGGCGCAAGATAGGTGGGGGGGGGAACGAAAGGTTTGGTTGCGTGGCTAAGATGAGTGTCGCTGCAGGGTGCTTCTCAAACACCCGGACCTCATGAGAAAAAAGGAACGAAAGTACACTCATTGACTTGAAGTGAGGACTAATTGTCTTCAGAAAAAGTTAACATTTGTCTCTTCTCGCTGAGTCGCCTTCATTTGCAATGGTCTTTCGGTGAGACGGAAAAGTGCATGAAAAAACCCACCTGAGGGCTAAGTTGGGTTGATATGTGTTGTCTTCTTGGTCGGCCTCATCAGTGGATAGACAATCTATTGGACATAGCAAAATTATGAAACCGGTGGTGCCCTAAGGATTCGATCCCTTATTTCTGACCCATAGACATTTCGTCTGATGATCTAATTTCCCGCCCATTTATGTTACATATTGTTTTTATTAACATTATTGCGTTGGCGACGTGTCATAGTATCTAGATCCACCACACCTCGATGAACGAATCACAGCTGTCCAGAGACACTGGTATGCTGGTCTTATCAATGGCTGTTTAACCAATGCCTGTTTATTCGCAGATCATGAGCCATGGCTTGCACCAAGAGCACTGACTCATCAGACGCTTCGCACATTGTAAAAGACAAAGATGGGAGGGTTTATGAATCTGAACTTCTCAGAAGTAGCGCGACGATTGCAGTTAGCGAATGAAAAACCAAATTGCTAAGAATACTGAACCAAGTCATTAACACCTGCAAGTGGTCACATGGCGCGAACACGAGAAACAGTGAAGTCAGAAGCAGACAGTATGGCGCAATGAGGCGGACGGGGTACGAACCGTGATGATGGCGTCCGTTTGGATGTATTTCAGTCCCTCTGAGTGACCAAGATCACGATTCAAGGCGGACACAACCCCAACAGTGACACTGTTGGCCAGCATCAGTGGGCTCCCAAGGGCCAGCACAAAGTGACCAGGGCGGACGGACGTTAGATCTGGAGCCAGTCGTAGTTGGGGCAGCGATTTCGCAGTGGCCTCCTTCACATCAAGCTGCGGATGGAAGTGAAAACCGGGAATATTGGAATCAATTGACATTTAGTGTTGAAATGGAACTTCTGTTCAACAAGAAATTAACTATGTTCAGAGTACTAAGATTCAGAGGATGGAGCTGTCATGTCACCAACACCACTAAGTGAAAACTGTAAGGGTTGGTGCCAGAAGAAACGAAGTTCGGTGGAGTAGGGGCAAATAAAACGTTACGATAGTCTGACATAGACAGACGACTCGGAAGAGGTAAGTTTGCCGCTTGTATAAGTACGCGTTATCCTTCTAAGATGCGTGATCAACTCTACACTCAGCTATCCTCCGTGATAAGGTCTGTGCCGAGGAGCGACCGACTATTTCTGCTGGGTGATTTCAACGCGGGCCATGAGCTGTGCCATTTGGGGCCACTACAGAAGCGACGACGGGTCCTACAGAGAATTACGGCGAGCCGGCGCAGCGTTTGTAGGCACGCTGGATTCGATTTACTAACCGCGTGCTTGCATGCTAAGTCTCTTTATTTCAGGTGGTGGGTTTACAGTTTTTACCTTAATGCTTTTCTTTCTCATATAAATATCTCCCTGTACTCTATTTCATTAACTTGCACACATCGCCTAAGACAATTGTATTCGATTTCCATAACAATTTGCGTTCGTGGCATTCCGTGAACTATACTTTCTGACCACGTGCACTTAGCTAGGATTTGCTTGTAATCAACTTATTACACATGCTATTTACTTAAGGTTTATATCACCGTTTCCTTATGCATTAATCGAGTTTTTCTCTTTTTCTTTCTCTCTCTCAAGTGTTTGGCTGTTGTTTGATATCCCCGGTGTGGCTGCGCTTGATGTGCATGTTGACAAGGTGCCTACCTGTCTATTACCCACTACCTCGTCCATACTGGCTCCAGGAGACAGTTGGTCGTTTGTGGAGGGGACGGGGGTGCACGGTCCTTGTGGCCGTGTTAGGCTCGAAGAGTGGTTCCATGCACTCAGTATGGAGCGGACTACGGTCCAGCCACCGCCTTGTGTGCGCTTGATTCCCCAAATACAGTGTGCTTGTGTTTGCTGTGAAGGAGTGTGGGCCGGCTCCGTTGATGAAACGTGGCTCCCATCCACATGCCTCCCGGTCTTATTGCTTCGGGTTTACACTGGATATAGGGGTGTGTGGTTGGAGCTGTGGGTGGTGCAGCGCAAGCCATCCATGGTCCCTCTGTAGGCGCAGGCGTCCTGTGGCTGGCCACAGTGACAGGCAAATCCGAAACCGGATGCCGCCAACCATATATATATATATATATATATATATATATATATATATATATATATATATATATATATATATATATATATATATATATATATATATATATATATATATAGCCATATGTCCATATCGCAGTCTCATACAGTCAGGTTCAAAACTGAAAAATTGGATAGTAGTGGCAACAGCCGACCAGCGGGAACGCGGTGCACACATAGCCGAAGAGAAGGGCAGACGAGAGTTCAACGAAAATTCAAATCAGGGAGCAGAGGATCTGTTGTTACCATATGACGAAAAGCATCATTACCCTCATTCGGATCTACTGTACATGAGCACGCTGCACAAGCACTGGTGGCCGTCAGCCTCTTAATGTCCTCAGCGGATACATTCAGTAACACTGGCCCCACTGCGGCGTTATAAACCCATGAGTTTATATCTCACCATTTCTATAAATGAAGGTCTTGAAAAGTCATACATTGTTTACCAATTCATGTGATAATCGCTCACTGGTGCGACCACCATAGATGATACAGGTAGGTAAATCGACGGACAACTTTGTGATCCTTCCTTGAGTGAAAAATGGTGGTGTATGGGCCAAGCTCTGTAAGCAAAATAGTAATGTATCAGCTGTACACCGTAACGGCGCTTCGCTGCCGCGCGGCCACCACCAGTCGCGCGTGGGCTGAGTATGCCGCAAGGACGCCCGCCCGTACGCGGGCTTATAGTTAGAAGGTGCAAAGCGCGTGCCTAAGCGAACGTCATGTATCAGCCAGTACAGTAGCGAGGGCATAGCAACTGGGTTCGATTCAAACAGAGCGATGTTTGCATACTCTAATTTTAACGACCGTTCATCAAACCCAAAAGGTGCAACAAGGTCAGATAGTTACACATGAGAGTTTCGATCACGAATTTGAAGAGAGATGGTGAAATAGAGCAACCCTACTTGCCTTGGCGAACTCATGGAAAAGTTACTGCGGACGATTACACGATGAGACTTTGGGATCAACAACGGATATCTATGCGAAACTGGTCCATATACTTGACATAACTGTCCACAGCCCATAATATTAATAGCGTGTGTTGCAATAAAAAGTGAATAAGAGATTGAGCTGGACACAGAAGACATTTTAACAGAAGGGGAGCTACCGCACAGTGTGTTGTATGAGATAGACCGATGAGAAAACCAAGGAACAGTGTACCCACCCGTATAATGGCCAAATCGGAGGAGACATCGACTGCAAGGACACGACCGGGAAATGAACGACCATCGGATAAGTGGACAAACACGTTGTTCCGATAGCCCACGACGTGTGCGTTAGTGATTACATGTCCAGAGCCATCAATGATGAACCCAGAGCCGGTGGACTGAGTGTGGCGAGCGAGGAAACCTTTACTGAAGTCGCACAAAGGTATAACATGAGTTGCAGAGTGAGAAGCTGAAAACTCAGAGAATAACCATTATCTCCGAACCCTGTGACTAACCCAACGAAAGTGCTCGGGACGTGTAACAAGGCCGATCCCTAATGACACTACGTGGGAACAAGTAATAGTGTATCCGTGTTCAAATCCTATCCCTACTGATTTAGAGATCGGGGGAGTTGAGCTGATTTAGCTTCAATAAAATGTCTACAAATGACGAAAAAGATTGATGACTACGTTTGGGGTCAGTAAACTCAAGCCTGTATAAATTTAACCACAAAATAAACGTTTGCTAATGGCCTCAATGATCATGAAATGGTATATTTGAGGGCAACCCAGAAGCTAGGCCAAAAAGTAATAACGATAACAAGCCTACTTGCGGCAAATCGATCAATGAAATGTGCACTGCAATGCGAAATTCTGGGAATCGAGGAATAAGTCTGCTTAGGATGAAGTTCAAGTATCGGTGGTAGAGAAATGGGGAAACCCACGACTGGAACAAGTGAAAATGAATGAGAAAAGGTGTGCCGAAAAACCGTTGAAATGTGGGTGTTTCCAATCGACCAGTGGTGGGTCATTTGGTGGACCTGAATGGTGTGTACACATCCGCGTTTTAAACGGGAGTGCCCCAAGGTTGCACAAGGAAGTGAAACGAAAGTTAGCAATTACGTATAGGTGTGGTGTCCAGATCGGAGGGACTGGTACGATGGACAAATTGCATGCAAGGTGGGAATCACGTAACTCGTGGCGATATAACTGTTATATTCCTGTTGACAACACAGGTAACACGATACTACTGTCGCGAATTCGGACCAAATTTAATAACGATTAGCAAGATACGGCGTTTTATGCCAATGTAATGGATCATATTAGATATATGGGTATGCGACATTACTGACGTTCCTTTGCTAATGGAGATTGCTTGAGCATGTCATTCGCTTCACTGACTGACTCTGAAGATTGCTTGCCCTCGTTGGTTGATTCTGGCAGTAACGAACTCCAATGGCTTACTCTTGGCCAACCGAATGCAAATATAGCTGATCCGAGGTTATGACGAGGACAGAGCTATAGAATTGACTTCGATTAATTCTATGAGCAATATCCCTTGGCAATAAATTTCTTATGCTTCCTACATAGCACCAGCCGAGTCTACGTGTAATGAAGATCAGCGTCGAAGGGAGATAGTTCGAGGGTGACTATCAAACAGGCTAGTTCGAAAGGCGTTCACAAGCAAATCATCAATCGGAAGCGTTTGGGCTTCTCAAAACACATCGTTCAGGTTAACGAAGTGACCGAGACGAATCGTAATGGGATACGAATCGCAATGCGCATCGCGACAAAAGTCGATGGCAACTTCACTTTGATATGTGCTAAGAATAGCAGAAAAGGTGATAAGAGCAGTAGCCTCAGGGGAAGTCGCCGAAGTAGCCTGAAGGGATACCTCGTTGTGGCACAGCAATGGCCTATAAGACGTGCTTCGAAAAGCACAGTCGGAACGACGAGTATAAATAATTCGTGTCCGTAAGAAGACAGATTTGGGCACATTCTACGTATGCATGGTCACCGCTTGCCGATGAGGGCGTAGTTTTGTTTGCCAGATGAGGGGTTGTACAAGGCTCGAGGTGCGCAAAAGTTTATTTGAAAGCGGGAAATAAATTCACTGACGACCAAACTAGGTGCTCTTGGTCAGTCTTGTCTTCCAGACTGGAGCCCACATGACCCGTAGTGTGGTTGGCTCTAGACCAGGGGTCACCAAACTTTTCATGGCGGACCGGATAACTAGAAAAATTGACTGGCCTGGACCGAATTATTGGAAAAATGGCTAACGCGGGTCGGATAACTAACAAAATGACCAGCTTAGCCTTCATAATCACCAAGTACAATAAATGGGAGTCAGAACGAAAACTCAGAGAAAAAATATAACGAAAAAGCGACACTCGATATACGCTTTTCTTTTCCCAGTAGCTTAATAATGGCAAGCATAAACAAAGCCGAACAAGAAAAAGATACTTATAAAGACAATAAAAATCTAATTGAAACTTCAAAAAAAGCAGAGGAGTAGGGGGCAATTGGTGGGACGTATATTTAGTGATACGAAAATGCATGAACCTTAACAAATTGCACTTCCAGCGCAATTCCGTTCTATCAACCTGCAACTCGTTCCAAATGTGGATCCAAAATAACACATGCATAAACTAGGGGCGTTTTATCTGACGCGTGCTTCAAGTGAGCGGACCAATCCCAATATTGTGGCACAAAGGTGTGAACTAAACAGATACACGATAGGGTGCATGAATGAATCTGTTTCACGCGTGATCAGTCACATCAATGTTCCAGGCCGGAGTTTGGTGACCCCTGCTCTAGACGTTACAGGGCATGGCTTGTAGTCGGCACCAGTGGCGTGTCTGCTGAAGTCTACTCGGACTGCCTGTTTAAAGTGTGTTTGGTGCTGAGTTATCTGCGGTGTGATGGCTGGTCATGACGCGGGGCAGTGAAAGCCGCAAGAAAGCTGTCTGGCCGATGCCGGTTTATCTTTGCTCAATAACCAGCTGTTTGTGACGGTATGTTGATGACAAGGTTTAGGCGCCTTGACCCTAAATGTTTGCTTAGAGCACTAAGGCTTTACGCTAGGCCTCTCTTGTCTCCTGGTTATTATTATTCTTTTCTTACGTCACCGTGGTTGTATGGCAGCGAAGCATGTCCAGATGGCCGATGTGCTGCTGCTGCTGCTGATGATGATGACGATGATTATGTTACACTGAACCAAGAGGGACAAGAAGGAACAAAAAACTGGTGAGCACACTTGTGAAGAGAGTGCAGTGCGTGTGTGATTTAAGCAAGTGAAGGAGAGAAAACTCGGTGCGACTTTATAGAACTGCACAAACAACCGTGTAACGTACAGGATACTAGGCGGGCAAATGGTGAGATAGAAGCAGGGTTTCCGGTCACATGGCAAGCGGGATTTCTGCAACGGCACTTCGCTACTATGCAACGACTAGTGATTTTACGCGGGCTGAGATACTTCAGGGTTGCTCGCATCTAAGCGAGTTCGAAATGGTGACCCGAAGATTAGAAACATTTGATTCATGCCGTCACCGACCGGACGAGCACAGGATGGTAAGAGAACAATCACGAAGCATTAAGCGCGCGGTGATCGGCGGAAGAGGACCGGTCGGTTTGCATGGAACTGACACAAGTGGGCTCCTGCGAAAAAACACGAAAGATGGAGACGTTTTCGGTGTTGTTGGCTCCCAGCATTGCTGTGTTGCGGAGATCGACATGGAAAAATTTACACTTCGGGTGCAATCCCGTTAATCGTTAGTATCCAAGTGTACATCAAAGTGAACCGTGACTCCAGCTGAGATTGTGTATCGCAGTTCGAACAAACGGTGGGTACTCTAAAGCCCATCAATGAACTTCTAATCGCTGCGCCAAACATTGCTCGTTCAGGCTAGCAATAAAGACTAAGGATGATTTGACGGGGCCCAAGTGTGGCAAGCAACAGATCAATGTCAACCGATAGACTAGTTGATGGAAGTCACAATGGGAACGTCACTTGATGTGATGACTATTCACAATTATAGCAGCACAAAGTTGTCATGATAAAAGCAGTCCAATCAGTTGGTAGTAAATCCCGATGTCCAAGTGTGAATCCAGCAAAGGATGTGCCTCAACTGCGAGCAAGAAAGTTACCGGTGTAAAGGAAAAATAAGTGTATCGGGTCTATCAAATCCTCATAAATAATGTTATCATGATCGTGCCTGTACAGGCATGCCTCGCGTTGTTGAGAACAAAATATGTGTTTATTTATTTATATGAAGGTGTGATAATGAAACTACGAAAACCGAGATGTGGACTTGTTGGTAATAGAAAGCTATCTATCGCAAGGTATTTAAGCATGCAAGAATGCTCAGAATAAGACCAGAAGCCAATACCTGTTCACACTGCACTGTAGAATCAATGACTATTCACACTAGAGATCACAACAAACTAGCCGATGGACTCCGGCTTAGGACGCGAGACGGACAGCACCGGTTTCAGCATTGCCAAGCCAACGAATGTCTCAGTTGGACCTTAAGCTATCCTGTATTCTTCCATACTCGACAAATGATAAGAGGCGTTCATAGCACGTGCTCAAACAAACACAATTTGCACGCTATGAGGAGAGAATGAAATACATTAGTCATAGTCACCAAGTTTGTGCATCTCGTCATTGCTGACGAGTAGATGCCAATGATATTCAATGGGCAACGATGCACCCAAAGTCCTGAAACAGAAGGCACAACGTCTCACTGCCCTTAACCAGAACAGTGCTAACTGTGGACCTGTATACACAACTTATGAGACCAAGGCGAAAGTGCGAAGGTATTGCTAGCATGTTTGGTTGGATACGATTTGTGACATAGCAAAGTGTCGGTCACAATGGCGTACGTGCAGTGAGTTTCTGTGTCCCTCCCCCTCCCGCTTATCTTCCCACTCCCAACCGGTACGCAGTACCGAAGCCTCGCTGCCGCACAACCACCACCGGTCGCACATGGGCTAAGGATACTGCGAGCGTCGCCCCGCTTCTACGCAGGCTCGAATCCGTGCCGCAAGATTACGAGGCAAGCTCGTTACCTCAATGGTACGGGTCGGCAACCAGGATCTCACACCCGATGCGTAATATGATAGTAAGCAACAAATTACTTCTTTTCTGGTTTCTGTATAGTATTCTATACTATTTGGTATCTCGCTTTTTTCATATATCATATCTTCTTGTGTTGCGGTACAATAACCGAAGCGTGTTTCTCACCTTCGGCTTAAGTGTAATGGTGATGATGTTTTTAGTGATAGCCCTGGTAGTAAATGATTTAATAGGTCACAAGCCGGTCGCTACAAATGTAGATGTCAAGGTGAAAAGTACAGCATTTTGTATATGTAAGAGCAATCACGGCTCACAATGTGAACCGCTTAAAAAAGGATAACTACTCTCTGACTAGAAATCCGCCGCTGGTGCTCTTTGTGCACTGTGGTGCGATGGATTCAGTTGACTTGACCAGCGTAACCGGCACAGTGACAATAAGACAAGAATAACGGAAATGAGAATAGTAAATAGGAGTGAAAAGGGATAGATAAAAGGAATTTATTAGAAATAAAGGCATTAGATAGAGTAGCTGATTGGCACAGATAAGGGAACGGATTAAACCGCGCGATGGATTTCGTGACAGCAGTAATTTCGGATCACCAATGTGATCGACTATGAGGAATTCGTTGTGGAAGACAGGCGCCAAATCGGCACAGTGAGCACATAACTTCCTCTGAGACATCAATGATTATCCACCTCAACGGTTCACCCAAATGGGTGCGTAATGGCCAACAATGAATGCACAATAAGAAAACCAAGGTGCGAGCAAGTAAGAAAGCGGAAACATTCAGCGTAGGCCCTTCGGTCTCAAAAGACACCAGCGCGACACCAAACCGTTTGGTGCTTAACAACAAATGACAAACTTCGGTAACAAGATCACGGTACTACACGATATGGACAACACTCTGAGGGCATCAGTGGTTAGACAAAATCAAACTCAATGTTCTCAGATAGTAGTGGTAATATCTCTGATCCGTACGATAGCACCGACTGCACTACAGAGTTGTACGCCCTATTCTTAGTTGGAAAGCAACACTGAATTTGGTGATCAGTCCATTAACCTCCGTGATTTGAACATTGCAAAAGGAATTTGGTGAAATCTAGGAGAGCTGGAGTCTTGCAACAACAGGATACAAAAGCGTGCGGCGCCGTGCGTCAAACTATCTGAAAGCGCTTCTCAAGGCACTACATTCAACTGGAGGAGAGCCATGTCGTCAGAATTAGTCGGGTTGGCAATAGGCAGAATTCTGACTCTTGTCATGACTTAACAGCTTCTCATACACCTCTACAAGTCCGCGAGAGTTGCAGTAGAGATTTTAGAGTCGAAAATACTTTTCACGACACGCTTTTCAACGATAGCATAACAGCATAAGAAAAAGACCCAAATCTAGCGAGAAAAGATGTGTATACCGTTGCAACTTACTCTATACTGGTGATTGAGACGACAGCGGGTTGCGCATCCTGAGCCACGTCCGCTACCACATCGAGTGCTTGGATTGCGGCCTGGCGACTGCCTTGAGGTGGTTGCCGTGCCTTCTCGGCACAAGAAACAGTGACCGGCAGCTTGGGAGTACCAAGATGAGAGCACTCCACATCATCATCGATATTACTCAAACAGAAGCCAGACACGACGGCCAACACACCCAAATTTGTTCCAATTCCAAGACCAAAAGACCAGTCTGTGTCGTTGGATGACTGACCATATCTTGGCAAGAGGCTCAACACAGGGAACCGGTCAGGCAGAAAACTGAGATAACGCGAAATCGGCCGCGACGCTAGGACACCAGCTGAACGCGGCCAAGGCCACAGAAGCGAGGTACTGCGCCACAGACGAAACTAGGAACAGAGAAGCAGAGGAATTTTAGGGGGAAATATCGCGTACGGAGACAGAAAAACTCTCACGGCGAACTGACGTTCGGAAAACATGTCATTATATTGCTATGAACAATGCGCTACACTCAGCAAGAGTATCACGGGATAACTCAAAGAGGCGAACTGTCAGATTGTGTTATGTGCAAAGTGACGACTCAAACAATCAAACTGTGATGACAGCTTCGTCAGAAAAAGGTAACACAGACTCGCGGTTGTCACATCGAAAAAGGATAAAGAGAATCAGAACTTAAAAAAATCCAGAAGCAGGCGCGCACAAGCACGTAAGACGAAAGTACCCAAGAAAGTGTACAATAAGTAAGTGCCGAAGAAACAGAGGATTCAGAGTGCGTGCATAGATCTTTAACTGGCGACGGTAACAAGTTCAGCAGAACCATCATCATTATCATTATTATACACATTGGCTGCAGGTGGAAAACACCTCAGATATTGTGCCGCAATAGTAACGAAAAGAAAATGAATACAACAGTGGCACAATGACTGAGTCCCCAGTAACGGACGGACATCGTTCCGAAGAGTTAACAGCCGGCTATCGTGCCGTAAAAAGTTATATTATGCCTAAGGAATGAGATCGTGGTTAGAGGAGAGGCTAAACAGGTGGGGGATAGACAAAGGAACGCACAACACAAACGCCGCTGGGGCCAGCCCCTAGCCATATCAGCAAGTGTGTCCAACCAAACATGTTTATGATCCTTAGGACCCCAGCCAGGCAGTCGGGATGCACCAACCGACGCCAACTTCGAAGTAAAGGTTTTCATTTCTCTCGAACAAGTCATCGCTTGGCCTCCTCTCCTTCTCTTCCAACCGCACCCCGGCGCGCAAACAATGCACGTCGCGGAAGTCGGTTGGCTGGTATGCGCAACACGTGGCCTAGCCATGGGAGCCTGGTGCGTGATATAATGGTGCTGAACGGTTCACTCGCTCTTCCTGCACCAAATACACGACGTCGAACACGCTCATTGCTCACGCGGTGCTCCCACCAGACATGAGCTAAGCTGCGAAGGCAGCGATGATCGAATGTGACGAGCCTCTTTATGTCTGTCGACCTGATGGGCCAGGTTTCACAACCGTACAGGAGGGTTGAACGGACGGCTGCGTTATAAACTCTGCCCTTCAGGGCAAGAGTAATGTCGCGTCTGCGCCACAGGTGGCGGAGATTAGCAAAAGTGCCTCGAGCTTTTGCTATACGGTTCGTAACCTCATCTTCGATCCCACGGGCGCTAATATAGCTACCCAGGTACTTGAATTCCTGAACGACTTCTAGCTGATCACCACCAAGGGTCAGCGCAGGGGTGGATCCCTGCCAATCTTGGAGAAGTACTTTGCATTTCGATGAAGCAAAGCATAGCCCAAAACGATTGACAGCCAGTGCTAATCGGTCCAGTGCTGCTTGACATGTTTGGAAGCTGTCACAGATTAGGACAATATCGTCCGCGTACTCCAAGTCAAGAAGTCGCTCACCAGGAAGTAGCTCCACACCTTCTAGGTCGTGTCCAGCGAACGCTGTTTCCATGACTTCATCAATAGCGAAGTTGAAGAGGAAAGGTGACAGCGGGCATGCTTGTCTCACACCGCTGGTGATACTGAAGGGTGGCGACAGTCTGCCATAAACCCTAACTATGCGCGTACAACGCTTTGATAATGTTTACATATTTATCAGGCACACCTTTCCTCAGCAGACAGTCCCAAAGGGCACATCGATCGACTGAGTATTTGATGTCAAGAAACATGACAACGGTGGGTCGCCAATAAACATGGGGTGTTCCAACAATTGATGCAAGATGAAGATGTGGTCGATGCAGCCCCGACCTCGATGAAACCCGGCTTGCTCTTCACGAATCTGGCTTTCACGAGTGCCAGTCAGTCTGTGGAGAATGACAGACGCAAGTAATTTAGAGGCAATTGAGATCAGACTGATCCCTCTATGATTGCCGCATTCCAAACGGGAGCCTCCCTTGAAAATTGGGACAATGACGGAACGGCTCCAGTCTGTCGGGACAGTTTCCTGCACCCAAAGTTTCATTAGCACCTCGTGTAAATCATCTACTAGAGGAGGTCCCCCGAATTTGAAGAGGGCTGGGGGAATTCCACCTGACCCTGCGGCCTTATGCAATTTCAACAGCCTGATCTCACATTCGATTTCTGCACGTGAGGGCGGATCCAAGGAGACGGCCCAGGGAGAAGGGCGCTCAATACCCGAAGAAGAAAGCGATAACTCAGGTTAGTTAAATTACCTTGCAAAGTGTTAAGCACAACGCTCCAAGCGTTTTGACAGGCTGTGGATCGGCTGCCCACTCTCGTCGCGTATGGTCTCGCTAACACCAGGACTTCTGCTACCTGTTTCCCGTATCCGACGGAATAACTTACAAAGATTACCAACAACAGCGGCTGTTTCCATCCCCGAGGCACGATGAGACCACCAGGCTTCGCGGTCTTTCTTCAGACTAGCACGTAGTTTTGCCCTGAGATTTTTGCGAGCCTCATTGTATTCGCTTCTAACCGGAATACCTCGGCGAGCATCCATAAGTTCCAGAGACTGTGTAGACCCAATGTCCAGTTTGGCAATTTGATATGCCACATGAAGACATGCCTGCTGATAGTAACGTTTGACGAATATGCGACCAGTGATCATCGACGGTGTTCAGTGGGCGCTTACTCAGCCCGGATGTCAGCGCACTTGGATACACATTCAGAACACCTGACTTCGGCAGCTGGCTGGTATCAATCCGTTCACAACGACGTTGCGGACGTCCACCGAAACACACCCGAAGGTCGGCGCAGACAACTGCGTGGTCAGAGTCCACGCTCGTGCTCCAAATCGAGCGACAGTTTTGGACACAGTCTCTCCAGCGGTAAATGATTGCGATATGATTGATTTGCGTCCATAGCTGTTGCGAAACTGGTGGGCGCCAAGTCACGCTTCTGCGGGTGCTGTCGAAAGTTTGTACTCGCGAGAAAGAGACGAGCATCTTCACACAGCTGTAGCAATCGCTCACCGTTATCATTACGGGAGCTTACACCATGTTGGCCGCCCAGATGAAGCTCATCAGAGGACAATTTTCCGACTTAGGCATTTAGATCGCCAGCCAACACCACAGTAACCGTGCTTCTTCCGTGACGAAGGAAATCATGAAGTTGCTGATAGAAATTATCTTCCACCGAATCAGTGCTACAGTTTGTAGGGGCGTAGGCCGCAATAACAAACAGGCACAGATTGTTCTCGCGCGACTTCGTAGCATGGAACGAACCAGCTAATCTAACGGCGCACATCCGACTGTTGGCTGGGATCCAATCGATCAGGACAGCTTCAGCCGATGGACTCAAAACAATGCCGACGCCAGCTTGACCGGCATTTGAAGCTGCATCATCGCCAGACAGGCGCAATGAGAATGTGTCGCATGTGGGGGATCACAGAGTAAGCACAGAGGTCGAATGTTCCAGGCGGGTTTCTGATGAACAGCAAATATCGATCGATAGGGTCTCTAGTTTGCGGGCAAGTGCTGCCTGTTGGCCAATATGTAGCAAAGTGCGCACGTTGAGGCATGCCAGTCTTAGCGAGGCGCGAGGACTCCAAAGGGAAACGGATGAGCCGACGTTGTCCGCTTGGTTAAACATGGACTTGTCAAGTGGATTGAACCGATGCCCTGCGACTGATTTTAAACTAGGAGACAAGTGACTATTGAAGCAAGGTGATGGAGGGCCATGAATTGGGGGACTGAAAATCGGGGGGAGAAAAGCAAAGTTGGAGCACGACGGTAAGGATGAAAAAGCGCAAGAAGGGGGATAAGAAGACGGGAAAGCCTAAGCAGTAGCATCCAAAACCCTACCCACTCTGCTGGATGCAGCATATAGGGTGCCGTTGATTATCCTTTGCAACGGCCAAAGCATCAGGAAATTGTTAGGAGAAAGGTTCATTGTATTGCGTGGACAGACTACTTTTAGGTTGCCCAGGCCTAGACAGGATAACAATTAGGGTTCTTAACTTAAGGCTTTTGTTCAAAAACCTTACCGCAAGGCAGCGGGGTATGGCACTGGACTACAAAGAGCCCGTTTTATGGAGTAAGGAGCCACCCTCACTCCAACCCCCAACCTGGAGGGCCAGGAGACTGGGTTTGTCAGGCTTCTAACCATTGACCAATCTGGTATGAGTGGCTCTGAAGGTGCAAAAAGCACCACCCAGATAGCTCAATGGATCACTGAGGCACACAAACCATCGCGCATTCGCGCCGAAAGCAGTTAAGAACAACAGTGCAACAAGGCGCAAACGCAACAAATTGGGTCGATAACAACTACACCTAGTAGAAACGTAGCTATCCTAAAGTGACTATTGTACACAGTAACTAAGGCTCCAGTTAGAAGTGTCATGCCTGACATTAATCATGCGAGTCGGTGCATTCGAGCAACAAGCCATATTAGAGACAAGCAGTACAACCCTATAAGACAACAACGTTTTATCATAAAATGAACTGGACTTCGACTGCAAGCTAAAGTCAATGGAGCGGTGTAGACAATGCTATGCGCCGGTCGAAATCGGGGCTTCATTGACCACATCTTCTCTTCGCGCAAGTTATTGTAGTGCCGCAACTTACATCGGTGACCCATCGTAGTCGTGTTCCTCGACATCAAGGTGCCTTCGATTCAGCAAATCTATGTTCCTCTCTGAGCTGTGTGATCAAAGGTGTACCCGGGAAATATGTAAGCATCATCAGAACGCTTTACGCTGTCAGATGCAGTGTCCTATGCTGGGATTGCTTGTCGGTGTACAGTATCTCCGAGGAAGACAAGGAACAGTGATTTTATTTAGTGGTGAGTCACATCCGTCACGTCGCACCATTGCTAAACGGACATTTGTGGCTTTTTATAGGAAGAACGCTTCCCAAGCGGAAACCCACCACGTCCTGGAACACTGTCACTGAACCATTCACCGAAACCGAAAATTCGCGAGG